CACAAGACCAGTCAAGCAAAGCAAAGCAAAGCTCAGGGTGGATCACAAAGTCACCACACATTCCGAGCACAAGTTCAAAGGCCACAAGGCCAGTTCACATGCAAGATCATATATAGAGATATACAAGAGTCAAGCAAGCAAGAACAAGAGTATATATAGGTGAAGGTACAAGCAAGGTCAAGAAGTGAGCAAGTGAGGCAAGACAGGCACAAGACCTAGCTGCGTGCAGCAACGCTGATGATCACAAGGCGCAAGTGCCTTGGTGAAGACATCAGCAGTGTTGGCCTCAGAGGCCACGTACGCAAGTCGCAACTGTCCACGCTGCTGCAGCTCACGAGCAAGAAAGTAGCGGAGAGCAATGTGCTTTGTCCTGTGCTCCAGTCGCTGCTCTCGACACAAGGCCAGCATGGCCTTGTTGTCTACGTACAGGACTGGAGGAGAACGAGGCGGCTCTCCAAGGTCGGTCAGCAGGTAGGTGAGCCAGCGTAACTCCTGTGCAGCCATAGCCCCGGCGTAGATCTCAGCCTCACAACTGGAGCCGAGAACAGAAGACGAGCGAGTAGCCCGCCACGAAACAGAGCCGGAACCAAGGCCGAAGGAGTAACCTTGTGACGACCGCTGCGTAGCCTGGTCGTCAGCCCAAGAAGCGTCCGCGTGCCCAGTGAGGACCACTGGACTGCGCCCTCCAAGCACTAGCCCCATGCCCGATGTACTGCACAAGTAGCGCAACACCCTCTTCGCTGCAGCCATGTGCTCTGGTCGGTGTCTCCCAAGAGCAACATAGCGTGCGAGAATGCTGAGAGGGTATGCAAGGTCAGGTCGTGTGCAGGTCATCAGGTACATGAGGCAGCCAACAAGCTCTGCATACGGGCCACTCGACTCTACGGACTCATCCGAAGGCAGAGCTGAGAGCGAGTGGCGAGTAGACAGAGGAGTGGCCTGAGGCGAGGAGTACGTGAAGCCGAAGCGCTGAAGGACCTGCTGCACCATGTGTGACTGAGTCAGGGTAATGGTGCGGCGTGCTCTGTCCCGGGTGATCTGCAAGCCAAGGTAGCTGCGCAGTTCACCCAGGTCAGTGCACGTGTGTCTCTTCTGCAGCTCGGACTTCACGTAGGCGAGTCCAGCAGTGTCCGCTGTGGCAAAGACCAAGTCGTCGACGTACACAAGGATGTAGAATGGCGGCAGAGAGGTGTCGGTGCGCAGAAACAGCGACGGGTCGGCAGTAGAAGGAGCAAACCCAAGAGCCGCAAGCGTAGTCCTCAGTGTGTCGTGCCACTCACGTGGTGCCTGGCGGAGACCGTAGACTGGACGCCGGAGACTCCACTGGGTACCAGGAGGGAAAGACCCAGTGAAGCCAGGTGGGCGACGCAGCCAGATCTCCTCGTGCAGGCTGCCCTGCAAGAAAGCTGTGCTGAAGTCGAGAGAGTGCAGCTCGTAGTCGCGGTGAGCAGCAACGTGCAGCAGTACCCGAAGAGTGGTCATCTTCGGGGTGGGGGAGAAGGTCTGAAAGTAGTCAACTCCCTGCCGCTGACTGAAGCCACGAGCCACGTAACGCGCCTTGAAGACAGGCGGAGAGCCCGGCGGCCGCTTCACCCTGAAGATCCACATGCCACCGACGATGTTCGCCCCAGGAGGGGGAACAGCGTCAACGTAGGTGCCTGTGGACTTCCAGGAAGCCATCTCTGCATCCATAGCTGCCTGCCACTGAGAGGAGTAGGGACCCTCTATCGCCTCCGCGTAAGAGCGCGGAGTCGGGACGCGTCTCCTGGTTACAGTTGTCACTGACCCTTCCTTTGAGTCCACTGCTGCGTCTCCCTTAGTTGCTGAGCTTGTCGACTTTGCTGCTCGCTGTCGTCTAGACTACGCCGCTAGTCTTGTTGCTGAGTCTGAGTCTGTCTGTCCTCCGTCCGTCGGGGGTGAGTATGCTCTTACCACGGACGTCCTTGAGGACAGGCAGGAGGAGTTCTAGTGTTTTGCTGCTGCTTTGCCTCATCTCGTGCCCATGCTGATTGCCCCTGAGGGAGACCCGGATGCACCAGACATCCCGACTCCTCGATCGTACGCTGAGGCGATCGAGGGTCCCTACTCTCTCACAGTGGCAGTCAGCCATGGACGCAGAGATGGCTTCCTGGAAGTCCACACGCACCTACGTCGACGAAATTCCCCCACCTAGGGCGAACATCGTCAGTGGCATGTGGATTTTCAGGGTGAAGCGGCCGCCGGGCTCTCCGCCTGTCTTCAAGGCGTGTTACGTGGCTCGAGGCTTCAGTCAGCGGCAGGGAGTTGACTACTTTCAGACCTTCTCTCCCACCCCGAAGATGACCACTCTTCGGGTGCTGCTGCACATAGCCGCTCAGCGCGACTACGAGCTTCATTCTCTTGACTTCAGCACAACTTTCTTGCAGGGCAGCCTGCACGAGGAGATTTGGTTGCGCCGCCTCCCTGGCTTCACTAGGTCGTTTCCTCCTCGTACCCAGTCGAGCCTCCGGCGGCCAGTCTACGGTCTCCGCCAGGCGCCCCGTGAGTGGCACGACACACTGAGGACTACACTTGCGGCTCTTGGGTTTGCTCCTTCTACTGCTGACCTGTCGTTGTTTCTGCGCACCGACACCTCTTTACCGCCGTTCTACATCATCGTGTACGTCGACGAATTGGTCTTTGCCACTGCTGACACTGCTGGACTCGCCCACGTGAAGTCTGAGCTGCAAAAGAGACACACGTGCACAGACCTGGGTGAACTGCGTAGCTACCTTGGCTTGTAGATCACCCGGGACAGAGCACAGCGCACCATTACCCTGACTCAGTCACACATGGTGCAGCAGGTCCTTCAGCGCTTCGGCTTCACGTACTCCTCGCCTCAGGCCACTCCTCTGTCTACTCGCCACTCGCTCTCAGCTCTGCCTTCGGATGAGTCTGTAGAGCCGAGTGGCCCGTATGCAGAGCTTGTTGGCTGCCTCATGTACCTGATGACCTGCACACGACCTGACCTTGCATACCCTCTTAGCATCTTGGCACGCTATGTTGCTCCTGGGAGACACCGACCAGAGCACATGGCTGCAGCGAAGAGGGTGTTGCACTACTTGTGCAGTACGTCAGGCATGGGGCTAGTGCTTGGAGGGCGGCGTTCAGTGGTCCTCACCGGTCATCAGACGCTTCTTGGGCCGACGACCAGGCTACGCAGCGGTCGTCACAGGGTTACACCTTCAGTCTTTGTTCCGGCTCTGTTTCGTGGCGGTCCACCCGCTCGTCTTCTGTTCTCGGCTCCAGGTGTGAGGCTGAGATCTACGCGGGGGCCATGGCTGCACAGGAGCTATGCTGGCTCACATACCTGTTGACCGACCTGGGAGAGCCGCCTCGTTCTGCTCCAGTTCTGTACGTAGACAACAAGGCCATGCTGGCCTTGTGTCGGGAGCACAGACTGGAGCACAGAACGAAGCACATTGCTCTTCGTTACTTCCTTGCTCGTGAGCTGCAGCAGCGTGGTCAGCTGCGCCTTGCTTACGTGGCCTCTCAGGCCAACACTGCTGATATTTTTACCAAGGCACTTCCGCCTTGTGATCATCAGCGCTGCTCTACGATGCTAGGTCTTGTGCCTACTTGGCCTCACTTGCTCAGTTCTTGACCTTGCTTGTACTGTGATCTATCTATACCTGCACTTGCTTGTTTACCTTTATATATGATCTTGCATGTGAACTGGCCTTGTGGCCTTGAACTTGTGCTCGGAATGTGTGGTGACGTTGTGATCCACCCTGAGCTTGCTTTGCTTTTCTTGACTAGTCTTGTGACCTCTTGTTCTCCCCCACTTTGTCTATGGGGGTGTGTCAAACTTATATGCTATAGTCTGTGTAGGCTGTCGTGGGGTAGACAATATGGGGTACAACACTTTTAGGTTTTCCTACTTGTACCCACCTGTTTCCCAGTGCATTCACTTCCTCGTTCTTTCACAGCAAATGGCCAAGTTTCTTGAAGAAGAAACGGTGAGCATAGACTCTAAGACAACATATCAAACTTTCAACATGTGGTGGAAAGTGCATGGTGCACGATTCCCCATTGTTGCAAAGATGGCACACCACTACCTTGCAATTCTGGCAACTTCCGCCGAATCGGAACGCACCTTCTCCACTGCACGTCGTCTCATCACCGGTTATCTTCATTGCCTTGATCCGTGTCTTGTGTCATGATTTGAGCTCACATGCATGGAGTGGTAGTTTAGTATTTGTTATTGAGGATATGTGCTTGTTGTTGTATGCTATGCTAAGTGCAACACAAGTGTAGTTGTATAACAGGATTGAATGTAACAAAAAAAAAAAGGCATACCAAGTTTATAAGGTCGTACTCGATACTCGACTCGTATTCGAACGTATTCGGCAACATTCAACCCGTATTCGACTCGTATAAAACGATGGTATTCGATCAAATACTTTCTCTACAACGCTAAATATTCGTCAAAGTTACTCGTCGACTCGGTTATTCGTTTTTCACCCTTTACCTAAGGCTAATGAGAGGTCATGGCGGGCCCTCACCTTTTGTGGTTGGGTTGTTGTTGAGTGAGTTGTGTTTTGGTACACAAACTCCACTGTGGTCCCTACAAGTTCCCAAACCTGTTTCCTTCACGCACTACTGGCAGGGGGAACACCTAGTCACTCTCTGCAGTGGTTGGGGCAAAAATTTGTTGCCTCCCATGCCCAACCACAAACCCAGTAACCATCCATCCCTTTGCCTCTACCCCCCCCAAATTGTACCATTGCTTTAATGGGCCTCGTCGCATATGATCTTGGACGTGCCGTTTACAGGACGATTCTCGCAAATCGTGGTGAACATTTCTTTCTGGAAAAACGCTTGGCCAGAAACATGTGCCCCCTGAAAACCGTCCATTGGGGGAAAAGTTGCTAACCGGGTCTCTCGGGTGAGAGCCGAGTATCCTAACCGACTAGACTACAATGGATGTCACCGAAGTTTGACAAAACAATAATGACCTATGTGTTTCTCTGCCGCTCACGATGACGTTTTCCCATGCGGTTGTGATGACGTCGTCTCTCTCCGTCGCCCTGCACGGGGGCGGTCGCGTGCTCAGCATTCAGTCACATACCGTCCAGGTATCCGTTGCATGCAGTCGTACACTGCCCAGGTATCCTTCGCATTCTGTCGCAGACCGTGTTGGTCACCGTCGCATTCACCTGCCCTCACAGTCCAGATAGCAAACGATACCGACGTCGTTACTCTACCCCGGCGTAGGCAATGCAAAGCAGCGTTTTTACGTTACGTAGGGTAACCCTACGGTAGCCAAAGCAACCGCCGGTGGCCGAGAGTCCCTCTCAGGTGTCTCTCAGACGCCCCTCTCAAGTGACTCTCAGGTTACCCTCTCAGGTGTCTCTCAGGTGCCCATCTCAGGTGTCCATCTCGGGTGCCCCTTTCAGGTGCCCCACTCAGGTGTTTCTCAGGCGCCCATCTCAGGTGTTTCTCAGGCGCCCCTCTCAGGTATTTTCTCAGGGGGTCCCTCTCAGGCTTCTCTCAGCTGTCCCTTTCAGCTGCCCCTCTCAGGTGTCTCTCAGGTTCCCCTCTCAGGTGCCCATCCCAGGTGTCTCTCCAATGTCTCTCAGGTGCTTGCTTAGTACGACCATGCGAAGTCTGGTATGAAGCTCTGAGTGTCTCGGTCATGCATCAAGTGTAATGAAGCATGGGCTCATGCGAACGCGTGTGTGATGGCGTGTGTCTGCATTGAGTGTATGAGTGTATGTATATACATGCATACATATATCTATCTATATACATATTTATATTTATACATCTATGTGTTTAAACCCTGACACTTCGGTCACATATCTATATTGCTTCGTACCCGGTCCATGCGTCAGAACTATGTGGGTGGGCAGCAAGGTGGCCAGGTTCCCCCGGCAGCTGCTCCTGATGTTGCAGGGTGTTTTTGAGAATTCTCAAAAACTCCATGCGTCAGAGCTATGTGGGTGGGTAGCAATGTGGCCGTGTTCCCCCAGCCCGGCAGCTGCTCCTGCTGGGAAGCGAATGGCATGCTTTGCTTACCATCCAAGGCGCCTGTGTTTCCCTTGCCCATGCTCCGGAGTTCTCGAGAGAAACCCCAATGTATGTGGGCAACAAGGTGGCCGCGTTCCCCCCTGCAGCTGCTCTGCTCCTAATGGCGTGCTCATGGCCCCACAGAAAACCTGAGAGAAACCCTGAGAGAAACCCTAAACCCAGTGTACCCCTGTTGCCTGCCCATGCGGTAGGGCTATGTGGGCCACAAGGCGGCCTTGTTCCTCCTGCAGCTGCTCTGATCCGAATGGCGTTCCCATGTTGGAACAGAAAACCCAACAGAGACACCTAAAGAAACTCCAACCCCAAACCCCTTGTACCCTGTTGGCTATGCGTGAATGCACCAGGGGTATGTGGGCAACAAGGCGGCGGTCTTCCCCCTGCAACTGCTGGGCTTCGATGTGGACCCCATCAATTCTGTGCAACTCTCCAACCACACTGGTGCGCATGTTGGTAACCACACTGGTGCGCATGTTGGTAACCACACTGGTGCGCATGTTGGTAACCACACTGGTGCGCATGTTGGTAACCACACTGGTGCGCATGTTGGTAACCACACTGGTGCGCATGTTGGTAACCACACTGGTGCGCATGTTGGTAACCACACTGGTGCGAATGTTGGTAACCAACCACACTGGTGCGCATGTTGGTAACCGCACTGGTGCGAATGTTGGTAACCGCACTGGTGCCAACAGTGGTAACGGCACTGGTGCGGGACCGGCGGTTGTCCATCCCATCTGGGTGCGTGCCTGCTGCCCCAGGGTCCATCACTCCTCCCACCTCACCACATGCCCCATGCATCTGTCCCATTCGTGCTGCTGCTGCAGGGTACCCCACGTGGAAGGGGCAGACACTGGACGGAGAGCAGTGCAGGTGTGGTTGGTGACAGAGGGGCACACCTCATGTGACTCGCACCATGCCCCCATGCACCCCACCCATCCCATCCATTCCCCAGGCTACCCCACGTAGAAGGGGCGGATACTGCCCCACGTGGAAGGGGAGGATACTGCCCCACGTGGAAGGGGCGGATACTGTACGAGGAGCAGCTGTGGGCAGTGAGAGAGGCGCATGCCTCATGCGGCTCCCAGCATGCCCCATGCATCGCTCCCATCCCGTGCGTGCAGGCTAGCCCACGTGGAAGGGGCAGATACTGAGTGGGGAGCAGCTGTGGGCGCTGATAGAGGGGCTGGGTTAGCGCCTGTGCATCCTGAGCCTTGGAGCAGCAACCTGGGTGCGTGCTGGGTGCATGCACCCTCAAGCAGCCTGGGTGCGTGCTGGGTGGATGCACCCTCTAGCAGCCTGGGTGCGTGCTGGGTGCATGCACCCTCTAGCAGCCTGGGTGCGTGCTGGGTGCATGCACCCTCTAGCAGCCTGGGTGCGTGCTGGGTGCATGCACCCTCTAGCAGCCTGGGTGCGTGCTGGGTGCATGCATGCACCCTCTAGCAGCCTGGGTGCGTGCTGGGTGCATGCACCGTCTAGCAGCCTGGGTGCGTGCTGGGTGCATGCACCCTCTAGCAGCCTGGGTGCGTGCTGGGTGCATGCACCCTCTAGCAGCCTGGGTGCGTGCTGGGTGCATGCACCCTCTAGCAGCCTGGGTGCGTGCTGGGTGGATGCACCCTCTAGCAGCCTGGGTGCGTGCTGGGTGCATGCACCCTCTAGCAGCCTGGGTGCGTGCTGGGTGCATGCACCCTCTAGCAGCCTGGGTGCGTGCTGGGTGCATGCACCCTCTAGCAGCCTGGGTGCGTGCTGGGTGCATGCATGCACCCTCTAGCAGCCTGGGTGCGTGCTGGGTGCATGCACCCTCAAGCAGCCTGGGTGTGTGCTGGGTGCATGCACCCTCTAGCAGCCTGGGTGCGTGCTGGGTGCATGCACCCTCTAGCAGCCTGGGTGCGTGCTGGGTGCATGCACCCTCTAGCAGCCTGGGTGCGTGCTGGGTGGATGCACCCTCTAGCAGCCTGGGTGCGTGCTGGGTGCATGCACCCTCTAGCAGCCTGGGTGCGTGCTGGGTGCATGCACCCTCTAGCAGCCTGGGTGCGTGCTGGGTGCATGCACCCTCTAGCAGCCTGGGTGCGTGCTGGGTGCATGCATGCACCCTCTAGCAGCCTGGGTGCGTGCTGGGTGCATGCACCCTCAAGCAGCCTGGGTGCGTGCTGGGTGCATGCACCCTCTAGCAGCCTGGGTGCGTGCTGGGTGCATGCACCCTCTAGCAGCCCGGGTGCGTGCTGGGTGCATGCACCCTCTAGCAGCCTGGGTGCGTGCTGGGTGCATGCACCCTCTAGCAGCCTGGGTGCGTGCTGGGTGCATGCACCCTCTAGCAGCCTGGGTGCGTGCTGAGTGCATGCATGCACCCTCTAGCAGCCTGGGTGCGTGCTGGGTGCATGCACCCTCTAGCAGCCTGGGTGCGTGCTGGGTGCATGCATGCACCCTCTAGCAGCCTGGGTGCGTGCTGGGTGCATGTACCCTCTAGCAGCCTGGGTTCGTGCTGGGTGCATGCACCCTCTAGCAGCCTGGGTGCGTGCTAGGTGCATGCACCCTCTAGCAGCCTGGGTGCGTGCTGGGTGCATGCACCCTCTAGCAGCCTGGGTGCGTGCTGGGTGCATGCATCCTCTAGCAGCCTGGGTGCATGCTGGGTGCATGCACCCTCTAGCAGCCTGGGTGCGTGCTGGGTGCATGCATGCACCCTCTAGCAGCCTGGGTGCGTGCTGGGTGCATGCACCCTCTAGCAGCCTGGGTGCGTGCTGGGTGCATGCACCCTCTAGCAGCCTGGGTGCGTGCTGGGTGCATGCACCCTCTAGCAGCCTGGGTGCGTGCTGGGTGCATGCACCCTCTAGCAGCCTGGGTGCATGCTGGGTGCATGCACCCTCTAGCAGCCTGGGTGTGTGCTGGGTGCATGCACCCTCTAGCAGCCTGGGTGCGTGCTGGGTGCATGCACCCTCTAGCAGCCTGGGTGTGTGCTGGGTGCATGCACCCTCTAGCAGCCTGGGTGTGTGCTGGGTGCATGCACCCTCCAGCAGCCTGGGTGCGTGCTGGGTGCATGCACCCTCTAGCAGCCTGGGTGCGTGCTGGGTGCATGCACCCTCCAGCAGCCTGGGTGCGTGCTGGGTGCATGCACCCTCTAGCAGCCTGGGTGCGTGCTGGGTGCATGCACCCTCTAGCAGCCTGGGTGCGTGCTGGGTGCATGCACCCTCTAGCAGCCTGGGTGCGTGCTGGGTGCATGCACCCTCCAGCAGCCTGGGTGCGTGCTGGGTGCATGCACCCTCTAGCAGCCTGGGTGCGTGCTGGGTGCATGCACCCTCTAGCAGCCTGGGTGCGTGCTGGGTGCATGCATCCTCTAGCAGCCTGGGTGCGTGCTGGGTGCATGCACCCTCTAGCAGCCTGGGTGTGTGCTGGGTGCATGCACCCTCTAGCAGCCTGGGTGCGTGCTGGGTGCATGCACCCTCTAGCAGCCTGGGTGTGTGCTGGGTGCATGCACCCTCTAGCAGCCTGGGTGTGTGCTGGGTGCATGCACCCTCTAGCAGCCTGGGTGCGTGCTGGGTGCATGCACCCTCTAGCAGCCTGGGTGTGTGCTGGGTGCATGCACCCTCTAGCAGCCTGGGTGTGTGCTGGGTGCATGCACCCTCTAGCAGCCTGGGTGTGTGCTGGGTGCATGCACCCTCTAGCAGCCTGGGTGCGTGCTGGGTGCATGCACCCTCTAGCAGCCTGGGTGCGTGCTGGGTGCATGCACCCTCTAGCCGCCTGGGTGTGTGCTGGGTGCATGCACCCTCTAGCAGCCTGGGTGCGTGCTGGGTGCATGCACCCTCTAGCAGCCTGGGTGTGTGCTGGGTGCATGCACCCTCTAGCAGCCTGGGTGTGTGCTGGGTGCATGCACCCTCTAGCAGCCTGGGTGCGTGCTGGGTGCATGCACCCTCTAGCAGCCTGGGTGTGTGCTGGGTGCATGCACCCTCTAGCAGCCTGGGTGTGTGCTGGGTGCATGCACCCTCTAGCAGCCTGGGTGTGTGCTGGGTGCATGCACCCTCTAGCAGCCTGGGTGCGTGCTGGGTGCATGCACCCTCTAGCAGCCTGGGTGTGTGCTGGGTGCATGCACCCTCTAGCAGCCTGGGTGTGTGCTGGGTGCATGCACCCTCTAGCAGCCTGGGTGCGTGCTGGGTGCATGCACCCTCTAGCAGCCTGGGTGTGTGCTGGGTGCATGCACCCTCTAGCAGCCTGGGTGTGTGCTGGGTGCATGCACCCTCTAGCAGCCTGGGTGTGTGCTGGGTGCATGCACCCTCTAGCAGCCTGGGTGTGTGCTGGGTGCATGCACCCTCTAGCAGCCTGGGTGTGTGCTGGGTGCATGCACCCTCTAGCAGCCTGGGTGCGTGCTGGGTGCATGCACCCTCTAGCAGCCTGGGTGCGTGCTGCTGCTCCAGGGTCACCAGACGCGCGTGCTGCTGCTCAGTCCTCCCACCTCACCAGACGCCCCAGTGCAGTTACCAACATGCGTGCTGTTGCAGGCTACCCCACGTGGAAGGGGCGGATACTGGATGGGGAGGGGAGCAGAGCAGCTGTGGGCGCTGATAGAGGGGTGAGCGAGGCGCGTGCCTGGCTGGCAGGACGGGGCAGATCCTGGTAGGAGAGCAGAGGCGGTGTGGGCAGTGAGAGACGGGTACACCTCATGCGAATCCCACCACGTGCCGATGCATCATGGCCCATGCACCATGGCCCATGCGCCATGACCCATGCATCCCATCCCATTCTCCAGGCTACCCCACGTGGAAGGGGCAGATTCTGGATGGAGAGCAGCTGTGGGCGCTGATAGAGGGCCTGGAGGCCAATGGGCTGCTCTTCTACACGCACCTGCTCACCGGTGGGTTCCCCTGGTGTGCATGCTTGTTCACCGTATGGTGGCACTGTGTGTTGGTGGGTCCTGCTGCATGTGTGCACACCTGCACTCAATAGAGGGCCTGGAGGCCAATGGGCTGCTCTTCTACACGCACCTGCTCACCGGTGTGTGCACTTGTTGGTGGCGTGTGTGATGAAAGGAGCATGCATGTTGAGTCGACTCAAAAGAAGCTCAGATCGGTCAACCCCAAGCTGACACTGACGCACCTCATCCCAACCACTCACACCTCAATCTCGGTTGCATAATCAACCTCCCTCTTCTCTCCCCCTCCCATCAGGCTACATCGGGTCGCTCTCCTTCCTGAAAACTGTTCTACGGGTTGTGGAGAAGCTAAGATCAGTCAACCCCAACCTAATATATGGTACTTTCTGGGTTTACCCCAAGCTGATAATGGACGGTTATTTCTTAGTTCACCCTGACTCTAGATACAATACTCCATGGGTTAGCCTTAGCCTGATATATGGTACTTTATGGGGTAACCCCCATTCTGATATACGGTACTTTATGGGGTAACCCCCATTCTGATATACGGTACTTTATGGGGTAACCCCCATTCTGATACATGGTACTGTATTGAGTAACCCCCATTCTGATATATGGTACTTTATAGGGTAAACCCTAATTCTCATAAATGGTATTTTATGGGGTAACCCCCATCCTGATAAACGGTACTTTATGGGGTAACCCCCATTCTGATACATGGTACTGTATGGTATGGAGTAACCCCCATTCTGATATATGGTACTTTATGGGGTAATCCCCATGCTGATACATGGTAATTTATGGAGTAACCCTCATTCTGATATATGGTATTTTATGGGGTAACCCCCATTCTGATACATGGTACTTTATGGGGTAACCCGATTCTCATATCTGGTACTTTATGGGGTAACCCCCATTCTGATACATGGTACTTTATGGTCCTCCTGTCCCCATCTGTCTCGTCTTTACCCCCGGTCCTCTCCTGTCCCCAGTTCTTTACACTTTCTCCTTATTCTTCTTGTGTCTCACCTCTCTTGGTGTGTTTTGAATTGCAATCTTGGTGTGATGTGATCCCGCAATCTTCTCCTCCCTATGTGCGGTCTAGTCATGCTGCTGCTGCTTTTCTCGCATCTACCCATCTCTCTGCCCGTCCTCCGCTTGTCTCACATCCCCACATCGATCCGAATGGGCTTGTCTCACAAAGGCTGCCTCCATCCGCATCGCTGCTTTCCCTTTCCATCTCTCTCCATACCACCTCTCTTCTCCTCACCGTAATGGACCTCTCAAAGGCCTGCTGCCTGCTCCCCTCTCTCCCCCTCACCCATTCTCTGCCTCCCATCCCTCTCCAGTTTCCTTCCTCGCCCCAATCTCTCTCCCCCAATGTCTCCTCCCCATCCCTTCTCTCCCCGTCACAGTGTGCGATCCAGTGATGGGGGACGACGGTCGTCTCTACATTCGCCCCGAGCTCGTCCCCATCTACCGCCACCAGGTGCCACCTCCTCTTGCCGTAAGCGTGTTCTGCGAGGTCTCACAAAACCGCCAGCAGGTGCCACTCACACCTGTTCCTTTGAGAGCCACATCCACGTGTTCTTATCCACGTGTTCACATCCACGTGTTCACCTCCACGTGCCACCTCCTCTCGCTGTATCGTGTTCTGTCTGAAAGGAACCGACAGCAGGTGTCGTGTCGTGCCATCCACGCCTGCCCTATTCATGCCTTGAAAGTGCTATGCAAATTCTCAGAAACGCCTGCAGTTGCCATCTGTCTCACAGAACTGACACCAGGTGCCATGCCATTCGCACCAGCCCTGTTCATGCTGTGAGTTTGATTTGAGAATACAAAAAAAAAACCAACGCATCAAGTGCCCTTGACACCTGCCCTGCACACCTGCCCTACACACCTGCCCTCTATGCGTCTCTCTGTGATGAATCTAACTACCCTATTGTTGGGTGTGTGCCTTCCCTCAATGCGGCATCCATCTAGCAGCTGACAGACAGACAACCAATCTCTCAACATCTGTGTATCGTTCTGGGCTCTCATCCCCGTTGCTCAGTGCGTGCTGCTGTGCTGCATGGCAGGTGGTCCCAGTGGCGACGCTCATCACGCCAAACCAATTCGAAGCAGAGCAGCTCACAGGCCTCAGGTGAATGGCTCGGTACTCTACCAGGTTCCTACTTAGCAACTTGTTCTTTGCATTATGTTGCGCTCAGGTTTGAAGTGGATTGGTGCGATGAGAGTCTCTCAACTGCTTTGAGGTACAGCAAATCACAGGCCTCACAACCCTGAGCAGGTCTTAACTCAAAGGCTTCAGGTGAATTGATATGCTCTTGCTACCTGCTCCTCTCCTCGCCTTGTTCTCCTTACCTTGCTGAGGATCATAAATGTCGATATTGATGACTCAGAAAGCATATCTGATCCGGCATTTTTTTTGCCGTGCTGTGCTGTGCCGTGCCGTGCCGTGTCGTGCCGTGTCGTGCCGTGCCGTGCCGTGCCGTGCCGTGCCGTGCCGTGCTGTGCTGTGCTGTGCTGTGACCTGCATCCAATCACAGACTTCAATCTATAGGTGCCACAACACTCGCCCACTCACTAACCAAACTCCCTGCACACGTGGCGTTTAGGCATTGCCAGTCCAAACTCACTGCCTCCCTCCCCCCCTCCCTCCCAGCGGCCAAACTAAGCAGCTGCCATCACTGCATGAGACATGCTGCATGTTGCAGGGCCCAGGAAGGTGAATGTGCATGGCATTGCCACAGGGGGGAGCGAATGGTAGAATTGCTGATACTGGCACTGTTGAGGCGCCTCAAAAGTCTGATACTGGCACTGTTGAGGCGCCTCAAAAGTCTGATACAAGCACTGCATGTGCACCCCTTCTCCCCTCCATTTCCATCCTCCCCTGCCTCCTTCCCTCCCTCGCAGCATCCGGACTCAAGCAGACGCCATCACTGCATGTGACATGCTGCACGCAGCAGGGCCCAGAAAGGTATGGATGGCTACAGGGGAGGAAGAACAGTGGGTAGGTAGGTGAGGGGGACTTTCTGGAATCTCTTTAGTGTTTAAAACAAAGATGTGACAGTGGATTAGCATGATGCTTGATGCTGCAGGGCTTAGAAAGGTATGCGAGGCTACAGGGGAGGAAGGACAGTGGTCTGGGGAGTTTCGGGGATTTCAAAAGTGTTTTGAATGCAAGTATGATAACGGTGTGGATGGGTATGATGTTGCCCGCTGTATGGCCCAGAAAGGTATCGCATTGAGTCGGTTCAGATCATCTAAGCTTATTAGGGGGGTGGGGTTGGGGGAAGGAGGAGGGGGAGGGGGGAAGGAGGAGGGGGAGGGGGGAAGGAGGAGGGGGAGGGGGGAAGGAGGAGGGGGAGGGGGGAAGGAGGAGGGGGAGGGGGGAAGGAGGAGGGGGAGGGGGGAAGGGGGGGAGGGGGAGGGGGGAAGGGGGGGAGGGGGAGGGGGGAAGGGGGGGAGGGGGAGGGGGGAAGGGGGGGAGGGGGAGGGGGGAAGGGGGGGAGGGGAGAGGGAGAGAAAAGACAGCCCTGCTGAGGATGGCATGGTGGGCGTGCTGACGTCATGGTTTGCTTGCTGGCGCTCCGTTGCTGCTGCGAGAGGGGAAGGATAATCCACTCCGTTCAGGTGGCGGAGGGGATTGGTTTTGCATGGGCAAGGCCCTCTCTTAAACCTGCTCCATCCCTTTCAACCGCTTTCAACCACTCCGTTCAGGTGGTGATCACAAGCATGGAGGTGGATGGGCGGCTGCTGGTAGTGGGGAGTGACGGCAGCAGCCCTGCTGGAGAGGAGGTGAGTGAGGTGAGGCGGCATGAGGGTATCTGTCTGGTGGTGGAGGTGTGCTTTGAGTCACCAGGTGTCCAACCACTCAATCACATCTGCTTGGCGTGACGCCAGCAGCCATGCTGCAGAGCAGGTGAGTGAGAAGGCATGGGGAGCTGGTGGTAGGTGAGAGGAAGTGAGTGAGAGGAAATGAGTGAGAGGCAGTGAGTGAGAGGAAATGAGTGAGAGGAAGTGAGTGAGAGGAAATGAGTGAGAGGAAATGAGTGAGAGGAAGTGAGTGAGAGGAAATGAGTGAGAGGAAGTGAGTGAGAGGAGGTGAGTGAGAGGAAATGAGTGAGAGGAGGTGAGTGAGAGGAAATGAGTGAGAGGAAGAGGAGTGTCTTTCTGGTAGTTGGGGTGCGTTTCGAGTCGACTCAGAGAAGTGGTGCCAGCAGCCCTGCTGCAGAGCAGGAGAGAGATATGGGCCCCCTTGTCTTGACAATGGAAAGCAGATATCTGTTTTGCTTCAATTTCTTTCTATCACTCATTATCCTCTTTGTTTGCACCAGCCATTGCCACCCTCACATACACTACCCTATCTTACTCCCTTTCCAATTCTGACATTCTGGCCGGCATTCGAACAAACACTCTATTCAGGAGGGCTCTGAACAGCGTTCTTTGCAGCGGTTCTGCATCGCAGTGCCCAAGATACCACACTACTTTACTGTATGGCGCTCCATTAATAGCTTTGAAGCAGCACGTGGCACATGGTTATGCAATCTGTCTCACACTTTCTGTGCCTCTTACCATGTCCCGTGTCCCACACAGCACCAGCTTTACAACATCACATATCACCAGCCTTACAACATCACATATCACCAGCCTTACATCATCACATATCACCAGCCTTACATCATCACACATCACCAGCCTTACAACATCACATATCACCAGCCTTACATCATCACATATCACCAGCCTTACATCATCACATATCACCAGCCTTATATCATCACATATCACCAGCCTTACATCATCACATATCACCAGCCTTACATCATCACATATCACCAGCCTTACATCATCACACATCACGCATCACCAGCCTCACAACATGCCATTTTCACATGGATTTCGACGTGCTACTCCGCATGCCATTGCATATACCACACCACATGCCATCTGACATACCATATCACATGCCATTGCATATACCACACCACATGCCATTTGACATACTACCATGTCACATGCCTGACATATCCCATCCAACGTACCATACCACATGCCATCCCACGTGAACGGCACACGTGCAGGGAACGGGAGATTTGATGACCGCATTGCTGCTTGGATGGTCACATGTGAGTGGGGCAGTGGCATGTGAGTGGGGCAGTGGCATGGCAGGAGTCTCATTGCATCGCAATCCTTCATCAGTCTTCTGGTGACATCTCTCAGCTCTGTTACACAGCACTCTGCTGCTTACATAGCACTCTGCTGCTTACATAGCACTCTGCTGCTTACACAGCACTCTGCTGCTTACACAGCACTCTGCTGCTTACATAGCACTCTGCTGCTTACACAGCACTCTGCTGCTTACATAGCACTCTGCTGCTTACATAGCACTCTGTTGCTTACACAGCACTCTGCTGCTTACATAGCACTCTGCTGCTCACATAGCACTCTGCTGCTTACATAGCACTCTGCTGCTCACATAGCACTCTGCTGCTTACATAGCACTCTGCTGCTTACATAGCACTCTGCTGCTTACACAGCACTCTGCTGCTTACATAGCACTCTGCTGCTTACAGAGCACTCTGCTGCTTACATAGCACTCTGCTGCTTACACAGCACTCTGCTGCTTACACAGCACTCTGCTGCTTACACAGCACTCTGCTGCTTACATAGCACTCTGCTGCTTACACAGCACTCTGCTGCTTACATAGCACTCTGCTGCTTACACAGCACTCTGCTGCTTACAGAGCACTCTGCTGCTCACATAGCACTCTGCTGCTTACATAGCACGCTGCTGCTTACATAGCACTCTGCTGCTTACATAGCACTCTGCTGCTTACATAGCACTCTGCTGCTTACATAGCACTCTGCTGCTTACACAGCACTCTGCTGCGTACACAGCACTCTGCTGCTTACATAGCACTCTGCTGCTTACATAGCACTCTGCTCCTTACATAGCACTCTGCTGCTTACATAGCACTCTGCTGCTTACACAGCACTCTGCTGCTTACACAGCACTCTGCTGCTTACACAGCACTCTGCTGCTTACATAGCACTCTGCTGCTTACATAGCACTCTGCTCCTTACATAGCACTCTGCTGCTTACATAGCACTCTGCTGCTTACACAGCACTCTGCTGCTTACATAGCACTCTGCTGCTTACATAGCACTCTGCTGCTTACACAGCACTCTGCTGCTTACAGAGCACTCTGCTGCTCACATAGCACTCTGCTGCTTACATAGCACTCTGCTGCTTACATAGCACTCTGCTGCTTACATAGCACTCTGCTGCTTACATAGCACTCTGCTGCTTACACAGCACTCTGCTGCTTACATAGCACTCTGCTGCTCACATAGCACTCTGCTGCTTACACAGCACTCTGCTGCTTACACAGCACTCTGCTGCTTACACAGCACTCTGCTGCTTACATAGCACTCTGCTGCTTACAGAGCACTCTGCTGCTTACATAGCACTCTGCTGCTTACATAGCACTCTGCTGCTTACATAGCACTCTGCTGCTTACATCGCCCTCTACTGGTTAAAACCCACTCTTCTGTTCATTCTTCCTGCTCTACCCATCCCATCCTCTCCCTCCCTCTCTCCCTCCCTCCCTCCCTCCCTCCCTCCCTCCCTCCTCCCTTCCTCCCTCCAACAGAAGTATCCGCACGACTTGGCAAGAGCAGCGGAGCTAGCAGTGGCATCTCTGCAGGTGAGCAGCTGTTGTTGCGCCTAGTGCCACTGCTTGTTGCTGCTCTGCTGTGGTTTTTACACTCGTTTAGCTGTTCTGTTGCAGCAGCAGAGGTGGCAGTGGCATTGTTACAGGAGGTGAGCACCTGCTGCTGGTCCTGATGCAATTGGGTGTTGCCGCTGGGCTGTCCATGGCTTTGAGGCAAGCCATAGCAGCAGAGTTGGCATTGGCAACCCGTGGCATTGCAACCTTCCTGACCTGATTGCTCCTCTCCTCCCATTCTTTCTCCCTACAGGCTGTGCTCGCACGAACCCTGCAGCACCACTCTCAACCTCTGGACGGCACCGTTTCCTCTCTCACTCCCCCCACCCCCAAGCGCCTGGAGCTCTGCCTCATTCAGAGCCGCGATAACTTCAGCTTCTCCTCTCCCCCTCTCCCTCCCTGCAGGCTGTGCTCGCACGAACCTTGCAGCACCGCTCTCCACCTCTGGACGGCACCGAGTCCTCTCCCACTCCCCCCACTCCCAAGCGCCTGGAGCTCTGCCTCGTTCAGAGCCGTGACGACATTATAAGCCCGCCTGTTGTGTTACGTGCACAAGCGGTTGAAAGCGGTGTAGATGGTTTAGATGGATTGCAAGATGGTGAAAGTGCCTTGGTGAGCGGTGACAGTGTAGGGGTGCTGCAGGATAAGGGAGTTGATGCTCAGCTGACAACTGAGAGCTGAGTTGAATGTACTGTAAAAAGAGAACGCTCAACTGTTTTTTGGCCGGGTGAGGCACTTTCCTGAGCACAATTAACACCAAGAAAAGGACCAGGCGGAAATCGAACCAACAAGGTGTTGCACATCAGTATTTGAATGAGAGAGTTATGCTATTGGTCCTGTGTTGAATGGAATTTGTTGTGTATTATTGTATTTGACAACGACGTGATTTTCAAGGTTGGACGTACTGAGCTCTCTTGTCAAGCATCATGGAGGACGCAGAGCCGCTGCGCGCGCTCTCCGCCCACATCGCGTAAAAACGGACCAGGCGGGTATCGCCCTTACTTAGATTCCCTCAGCTTTCCGCTCTATCGCCGCGTTCCTTCCGTCCCTAGTCCCTCCCCGCGCTGCGCGCGCTCTCCGTCCACAGCGCGTGACGCGGACCGTACTTGTCTCCCGCCGAGTAGCCATGCAGGACGCAGAGGCGCGCCGCTCTCGCCTGCGCAGCATGCGCGAGTCCGCGGCGAAGCAGCAGGCGGCGTCCCCCGGCGCGCCCACGCCTTCCACCGCCATCTCCGCACTCCCCTCCCCCGACTTCTCTCCGCCGCTTATCCGCACGCATCCGCGCGTGCGCCATCCGGGGAAGGCGGACCTGGGGGAGGTAGATCTGCTAGACGGCCAGCAGGAGCAGCCACCACAGGCTCGGGGAATTTCTCACAGGCCTCATGTAAATATCTTCAAAGCTCTAGCGTGTTTGTCTTAAAGCCCTATCATTCTCAGCTTCCGAGGTACCTGATCTACCCTACTCCCCAGCACCACGAGTGTCAAGTGCTGCCGTTTATGACTCCCAAGGGGCCGGGCAGGGGGCAGGGCAAGGGGTAGGGCAAGGGGCAGGGCAAGGGACAGGGCAAGGGGGAGAGCAAGGGGGAGAACAAGGGGCAGAGGGGTCAGGGGAGGGGAGACCGGCCAGCGTGGACAGACAGTCAGTGAGGCAAGCGGTTGCGAGGGAGGGAGCCGTGCAAGAGGAAGTTTTTGACAATCTTTCCATGGTGCAGGTGAGCGGGGCGAAGAGAGAGAGAAGACAGGGGGGGGGGGGGTCTATTGTGCAGGTGTTTGTGAGAGGGGCGATTGAGAGGCGTCCGCACAAGAGGGAGTCGGCGACGTTCCTTACAAGGAGTAGGTGGGAAAGAAGCATATGAGATATGTGACAAACATCCGCTCTTGCCTGACAAGGACCTCATGTTAGGGAGCTGGTGGCGTTCATTACCAGGACCGTAATGAAGCATCTGAGATATGTGACAAACATCCGCTCTTGTGCTACTTAGGACCGTACTTCAAGGACCTTATATTTCTTCATTTGCTTACGATCCCTCTTGTTTCTTCCCGCCCCATATTTCTTCATTTTCCACCCTCTGCTTACACTTCCTCTATTGCTCGCCAACGCTCACATTCCATCCAGTTGTTCTCGAATCCACACCCAGGCATTCATGACTGCATCTCTCGCTTTCCCTCGTTTCTCCCCTCTTCTCACCCTTGCATTTCTCGCAACCCTCCCCCATTCTCTCCTATTTCTCTGCTCTTTCCCCCATCCTCCCCTCTCCCATTCTGCCTCTGCCCCAACCCAGCCACTCATCGCCGCCGCCCACAGTGCCGGGAGCAGAGGGGTCGCAGTGAGAGAGGATTCAGGAGGAGCGGTTACCACGAACGTGGAGGAGAGGCATGCACACAGGGGACGAGGGGGAGGTGGGGCGGGGAGAGCAGGAAGAACACAGGTGGGGAGGGGGGACACAGGGGGGTTGCTGGTGGGGACGGCGCCTCAGTGGCCGGTCGGCCGGAGGGCAAGCGAAGCAGAGGTGAGGGCACGACTGCAGGGAAGGATCAATAGTCTGCTTTGCAGTGTCGGCCCTGACAGGCAGGAGCATACCACCCGACAGATCAACGAGGTGGTTTACCAGCTCGCGATCCAAGACCCCACTGCAAAAGAGCTCTCCGTCTCTACCGTCTCCCTCGGTGGCCCCTCCCTCGCCTACTACCTCCATCTCGCTCCCCAGTGCTACCCGGACTTGCTACAGTGCGTCACCAGCCTTGACCTACGTAATCTCCAGCCCGTCTCGACACAGGCCGTGAGACAGCTTCTCCGCCTGCCCTCCCTCACAGCCCTTCACTTCCACGAAACTCCGATCCGTTCAGACGCCCTGCCGCTCTTCCAGTGCATGTCTCGGCTCCGGCGGCTTGTCATAGCATGTGCTAACCCCTCCGACGTTCTCAATCTATCTGCCAGGCGGCAAGCCAAATCACCCACTCCGTCTGATCCCATCAGCAAACCCCAGCCGTTTCAGAGCTTGAGGGAGCTACATGTGAGTCGGGTGACAGACTCTATTCTGCAGCAGGTGGGGGTGCTCACAAGCCTTGAGCTCCTTTCTTGCACGTACAGCAAGGAGGTGACTTGTAGGGGATGGATTCACCTAAGGGGAATGCTGAACCTGAAGAGGCTGCAGCTGGTACCAACAATCCTTATAAAAAAATTCGGATCCAATGACCACCACAGCGACTACTACCGCATGTGCACCCGCCTTGGGCTGAAGCTAAGCTTCCCCGAATACCGCCTGCCAAAGATCATCCAAACCTTCCAAAGGCCTCCCAAAAAAGGGGCTGCTGCCTCCGCAAGTGAAGACCCCAGCAACCGCATTGATGGGAGCATATGGGAGGTGGTGGGTGCCCTGCCAGGCCTGCAGCACCTGGAGCTGCACGCACCAGAGCCCAGCACCACAGCCCTGCGATCCCTCTCCACCATCACGCACCTCACAACCCTCCACATCACCGGCCCAGCACTTGATGACTCTGACTTGCTGTGCTTGAGTGGGTTCTCAATGCTCACAGACGTCAGCCTGGCTGCCTGGACGTTCGCAGCAGACCATGCTGTGAGGACGGTGATTCAAGGCATGACGCACCTGAAATCGCTGGACCTGTCGGGAACGGCCATCAGCCAAGGCGCTGCGGTGCATCTGCAAGCGCTAGAGCGGCTGGAGCGGTTGAAGCTGCAGCAGTGCATCGGCATGAGCAAGCTGTTTGTGGAGCATCTGAGCCAGGTTCCTGCGCTGAGGGAGTTGGATCTTGGCTGCAACAACATGCAGCATGCTTGGCTGCTGCCGGTTCTGGAAGGGAAGAAGGTGACTCGGCTAGGGGTAAGGGGCTGTGGGTTTGTTGCAAGAACATTGAAAGGGCTTCAGCGTGATTGGATTGAGATTGACTTGAGATCAAATGAGTGACCATGGGAGGGATGAGTCGTACGGTATGAGTTATAGAGTGCTTTGGCAAGTGGTGCAAAACCATCCTGCATGTAATTGGGTTAGAATTGTGAAGTAAGACTGTGAGACCACCACGTTGAATGTGCAGCACACATACTGGTAGCTATGGTGTTTCATCAGATGTTAGTTAACAATAGCCGTTGGAATGGAATCTTCAGACCCTTCCATTTGAAAAATTAATCCACTCTTATCACACAAAACAAAACTATATGTATGTGACCTCAGCAACAGGTAGTCATATGGTACTAGTGTTCCATATGAAAGCCCATGTGCTAAAACAGCAGCATTCCTGCTTGCCGATCGCACTTTAGCGGCAAGCCCCAATGCCCCATGCGAGTCACCCTTTAGTAGCCCACGGACGCCCAGCCATACTTCTGCAGCTCCACACGCAGTGCCTGCCGATGCGAGTGAGACATGGGAGAGGGATGGGAGGGGGGCAGGGAGAGATGGGAAAGGGGCGGTGAGAGATGGTGGAGAGGTAGGGAACAGAGAATGGTATTGGACGCTTGGGGTTGGAGAGGCAAGAACGAGTCGGGACTATTTAGATGTAGTGTCGGGACCAATGAAGCCCGCCCTGTAGCAGCAGGTTGGCATCCAGGTCGCTCTCCCCCAACCAGGGTGCACTGCGGTACTCCACCAGGGAGCAGCACAGAGGGAATCACAACTCCCTGGCCTATCCACCCCATTCTCCCCACCCACAACCAGCCCCCCCATCTCTTCCCCCCCTCCTCCCCCTCACCATCGCACCTTGATGCGCTTGTGGTTAGAATCCGGTCGCTCTCCCCCAGCCGCAACGCACTCCACCAGGGAATGGCTGCCTGGGGGAAACCAGAACCGCCATCCAAGCCCACCCGTTCACTTCCAGGCAGCCCACGCATCCCCCATCCACCTCCCAACCACGACCAACCCCCTCCTCCTCCCTCCCATCCCCACACCACGCACCTTGATGCGCTTGCGGTTGGCATCCAGGTCACTCTCCCCCAGCCAGGAGAACCGGAATCCCAGCATCAACCGTCCATTCACCTTCCATCACAACCCATCCAATCACCTTCCATCACAACCCATCCATTCACCTTCCATCACAACCCGTCCATTCACCTTCCATCACAACCCATCCATTCACCTTCCATCACAACCCATCCAGCGCGCCATGAGCAGCGCCGTCGTTGTCGTTGGCGTGTCAGCGGCATGGCAATCGGCGTGACAGCGGCGTGGCATCGGCGCCCCGAAGCAGAGCTAAACGGAAATCGCCATGTTTGGTGGCAGATTTTGGATGTGGAATGCCGCATTGCTGCTGGCTCCTGGAACGGCAGATGACGAGCTTGTGCTGGCTGCAGCGTGCCTGCCATGACCATGCACACGTCAGCACGAACAAGGACAAGCAGAAATCGGAACAAACGGAGCTAAGAAGAGGGAATCTACGAAGAAAACGAAATTACTGGAAACAAGACTGAAGATAGCATGAGTAAGAAAGCGGGCTTACGAAATACTAATGCCATGGCTCATGGCGGACGGCGATCCAAAAGAGAGGCTGCGCTCTTGAGTAGAATGGCTTGAGATTGAAACGAGATCTGAACAAAAAAAATTAGCAAACGAAATCACGAAAAACGAAACCACGATAGCGTGACTGCGACTAAGAAAGCAGGCTTACGAAATGGTGATGCCATGCCCCATGGCGGAGGGCGATCTAGAAGAGAGGCTCGGATGTTGAGTTGAGATAGAGTGGCGGATGATAAGAATCGAGGTCTGAAAAACGGGAGTGGGAGTTAGGTGAGCGATTGTGAGCCCAGCCCACTCACATCACGTTTCGTGCGCTTTCTGGCCTGCTTGGTCCCCCTGAACGAACGTGGGTGCCTTGGCGCTTGCTCGCTTGGGGAGGAGAAACCCAAACCAGCCCGATTCTGAAGGGGTAGCAAAAACGGTCCAAATAGCTCACTATACTCATCCTCCTATGGAGAGTGAATGCTACAAATGCATGTAAAAATGAGAATGCGGGCAGGGGGGATCAGGAAGTTTCAGGTTCAACAAAAACGGAATGGGCAGTAGGGGGGTATGGGGTTGTGTTTGGCTGTATGTGCACTCCAGTGCCCTACTCTACGAGTCAGCCTTCTTCTTGTCCTGACATGGCCCGACACGGCGTCCAGGGTGCAAAGTGAATGTACCGAAGTAGCGTTCTGCACAGTGCTACGTCGGCAGCGCAGTGACAAAGTCGGAAAGCCGGTTTGGGTGCCCTGTGTATATGCAGTCCGACACTCCGATACAGCGAGCGCGACCCAAAGTGAATGTGCCAGCTTTTACAGTGACCAAGTCGCAGCGCGAATAAGTTTCGCTCGTCAGCTGTGCCCAAAACGAGAACAGCAATACAGTATCTTGCAAAACTACAGCTTTCCACATGGTTGTAAACAGAATTGATTTTGCTGATTTACAAGTTACACTTGTAAGTGGATAAATCTGTTTGTGTAATCTGGAGCTTATGCATGTAGGTCAACAAATCAATAACAAATTAGCTCTGGAATAATGAGCTAAATATTAAGGAACGTGCGCATCTGCATGCGTATATGCATGAATACTCGCATGTCTGGTACCTACCTGTTTCACCTAGACGCGCGTAGACATACGTATGCATGCGTACGTATGCCTTCATGCACGTAGTGCGTCTACCTACCGTACACACTCGTACGCGACGCATATGTACATAACCGTACATGGGGGTTGTACATAACCGTACATTCCCATATGTTGGTGTTGTGGGTTAGCATGGTGCTGTGGGTTAGCATGGTGCTGTGGGTTAGCATGGTGCTGTGGGTTAGCATGGTTCTGCGGGTCCCAGAAAGGTATGTGTGGGTACAGGGGAGGAAGAACAGTAGGCAAAAGGAAAATTTTGGGCAACTGTAAAAGTGTTTCGAGTAGACTGTTGGTGAATTGGTATGATGTCACACGCTGCATGGCCAAGAAGGGTATTTCGTTGAATCAGTCCAGTTCATGTAAGTAAGCCTATGCAAGAGGGAGAGGAAATGGGCTGACCTGCTTTGTTGGCATGGTGGGGTTGCTGAGGTTACTACGGTGGGCGCGCTGACGTCATGGTCTGCTTGCCGACACTTTGGTACCGCGGAGAGGAGGAGGCCGATTCACGGGTTGCCCTGCTGAATTGCCCTGTCGGACGCTTCCCGGGTTCCTGTCAGGGCAGGGTAGAATAAAAACCTTTGGGCAGGTGTAAGATAAACCGGGGGAGATGGGGTTTGCGGAGGATAAGAGGGGATTTGCTGTGAAGCACTCCCTTTAGGCGGAAGGCCAGGTGCTTCTGGTGGAGGGGAGATTCCCCGTGAAGCACCGCCTCTCTTAATCCCGCTCAACCCCTTTCAACCACTTTCTATCCCATTACTCAGTGTCAAGCACCCACAACACTCCCATCAGGTGGTGATCACGAGCAGCGAGAGGGTTGGCCAGATGGTGTGGTGGTGGGGGAGGAGAGTGGGCCTTGAGGCATCACTTCTTTGGAATTCGCACATCCTACTTGAACCGCTTTCAACCACTCCCCATCAGGTGGTGATCACGAGCATGGAGGTGGGTGGCCGGCTGGTTGTGGTGGAAGGGGGGTCTTTCATAGACAATGCCTCTCTGAAACCCGCTGCACTGTTCTAAACCACTTTCAACCGCTTTTAACCACTCCCAACAGGTGGTGATCACAAGAATGGAGGTGGATGGGCGGTTGCTAGTGGTGGGGTGGAGTGGAGTGGCCCTTGAGGCAACACCCTTTTTGAATCCATTCAACCATTTTTAACCGCTTTCAACCACTCCCGTCAGGTCGTAATCATGAGCATGGAGGTGGATGGGCAGCTGGTGGTGGTGGGGAGTGACGCCAGCAGCCCTGCTTCAGAGGAGGTGGGTAAGGGGAGGCGTCATGGGGACTGTTGGATTTTGTTATTGATGTGTGTCTTGAGGCGACTTAAAACACACCTGGACTGTACATGCTGCTGCTGCTGCTGGTGATGCGAGTGTCGCCGCCAGTAGCCCTGCTGCAGAGCAAGTGAGTGAGAGGCATGGGGAGCTGGTGGTTGGTGAGAGGAAGTGAGGAAGTGAGAGGAAGTGAGTGAGAGGAAGTGAGAGGGAGTGAGTGAGAGGAAGTGAGAGGAAGCGAGTGAGAGGAATTGAGAGGAAGTGAGTGAGAGGAGGTGAGAGGAAGTCAGTGAGAGGAAGTGAGAGGAAGTGAGATGAAGTGAGTGAGAGGAAGTGAGTGAGAGGAGGTGCGTGAGAGTAAGTGAGTGAGAGGAGGTGAGTCAGAGTAAGTGAGTGAGAGGAGGTGAGTGAGAGTAAGTGAGTGAGAGGAGGTGAGTGAGAGGAAGTGAGTGAGAGGAGGTGAGTGAGGAGGTGAGTGAGAGGAGGTGAGTGAGGATGAGGAGAGCTGGTCTGGTAATTGGGGTGTTTTTTGAGTCCACTCAGAGGGATGGCACCAGCAGCCCTGCTGTAGAGCAGGTGAGAGAGAGCGGATGGGGCAGAGCAGGTGAGAGAGAGCGGATGGGGCAGGTTTCACACAACAGGTCGGCACATGAGGCATCCATGCCGTATTGGTCAGTGTTAGTAGGTTAGCAATGAGCCCCTTGTCTTGACCTTGAAGAGAAGATATCTGTTTTGCTGCCACCCTTCTCTGGTCGCTTCACCCCCCTGCGCCGGTCAATTATCCTTCCTAGCTGCAGTGAACTTGTGCCTGTTTTCTTTTCTTCTTTCTCGCTCTCTCTAATTCTTTTCCTTTGTTATCTGTCACTCATTATCCCCTATGTTTGCACCTGCTCTTGCCACCCGTACATACAGTACCCTGGCTCCCACTCTCCAATTCTCACTCTCTTGTCGACATCTTTACAAACATATTTCAGGAGGGCTCTGGGTCACATTCGTTGCGGCGGTTCTGCATAGCTGTGCCCAAGATACCCGAGTACTTCACTGTATGGCACTCCTTCTCACAC